GTTACCCCTCACCTGGGGAGGGGGAGAGGGTTGCAGGTAGAGCAGATGTTAGATCTGTTCTGCCTGATGTGCGGCTGAGTCTGTCCCCATGGAGTCCCTGTTGGGACTCCCCCTGTTCCCTCTGACCAAGGTGCCCACTAGGAGGGGCAGCTGTGCTGCCCTGGAAGGCAGGGGCCTGAGGAGCTGGCCCCTCACACCACATGACAGATGGGCCTGGAGCCAGCATGGAGTTTGCTGCTTCTCTAGCACTTAAGTGCAGGGTGGACTTATGCATGCACATGTGAGTGTGCATGAATATACGAGTGCATGTGTGTGAGTGTGTGCATGTGATTATTTGATCAGTGTCTGACCTCAGACTAGAGGCTCCAGGAAGCTGGCCCATGTCTGCCTTTAATAGTAGGAACATACATATCTGGTGGATAAATAGGTAAAGGTGGTGATTCTTACGTGTGTGTGTGTATGTGTATGGGGGTGGGGGGAGGTAAAATATACAGAACATAAAATTTACATTTTAACTATTTTTAAGTGTTCATTGGTATTGAGCACATTCACATTGTGTAGCTGTCACCTACTTCATCTCCAGAACTTTTTCATCTTCCCAAAATGAAATTCTGCCCCCATGAAACACTAACTCCCCAGCCCTGGAACCTACCATCTACTTTCTCTGAATTCGATGACTCTAGGGACCTCATATAAATGACACCACAGTATTTTTTTTGTGTGACTGGCTTATTTCATTCAGTGTAGTATCTTCAAGGTTAATCCATATCACAGCATTTGTCAGATTTTCCTTTTTAAAACTGAATAATATTCCATTATATACCTGTACCACATATTGCTCATTCATTCATTTGTCAGCCATTGTGAGTAATGCTGCTGTGAAGTTGGGTGCACAAATAAATATATCTTCAAGTTCCTGCTTTCAGTTCTTTTGGTTGTGTACCCGGGAGTGGTGGATGATGTGGTAATTCTATGTTTAAATTTTTGAGGAACCTCCATACTATCCACAATGGCTGCACCATCTTACATTCCTACCAACAGTGCAGAGGGCTCCAACTTCACATCGCTTTTTAAAAAAAGAATGGCCGCCCTGACCGGTTTGGCTCAGTGGATAGAGCATCGGCCTACGGACTCAAGGGTCCCAGGTTCAATTCCGGTCAAGGGCATGTAGCTTGGTTGCAGGCACATACCCAGTAGGGAATGTGCAGGAGGCAGCTGATTGATGTTTCTCTCTCATCAATGTTTCTAACTCTCTATCCCTCTCCCTTACTCTGTAAAAAATCAATAAAATATATTTAAAAAAATAAAAAATAAAAGAATGGCCGTTCTAATGGGTGTGAGGTGGTATCTCATTGTGGTTTGATCTGCATTCCCCAATGTTCAGTGATGTTATGCATCTTTCCATGTGCTTTTTGGCTACTTGTATATATTCTTTAAATGTCTATTCAAGCCCTTTATCCATTTTTAAAATGGTTGTTTGACTTTTTATTTTTGAATTGTAGGAGCTCTTTATATATTCTGGATATTAATTCCTTTGCAGATATATGATTTGTGGTTATTTTCTCCCATTCTATGATAGGTTGCCTTTTCACTCTTGTTAGTGTCCTTTGTGCACAAAAGTTGTAAATTTTAATGTTTCTTTTGTTACCTGTGCTTTTGGTGTCATGTAGGATATCAATGCCAAATCCAATATCATGAAGTGTTTCCCCTACATTTTCTTCTAACAGTTTTGTCTTTTATGTTTAGGCCTTTGGTTCATTTTGAGTTAATTTTTGCATGTGGTGTGAGGTAAGGATCTGACTTTATTCTTTTGCTGTGGAGACCCTATTGACCCACCACCATTTGTTGGAAAGACTATTCTTTTCCCGTCAAATCACCTTGGCACCCTTGTCAAACATCATTGACCACACAAGTAAGGGGTTATTTCTGGGTCTCTATTCTGATCCATTGGTCTAGATAGACCTGTTTTATAGATAGGAAAATGGAAACCCAGAGAGTGTCCATAATTTGGCAGAGATCACATAATCGGCAGTGGTTAGGTTGGAGTTTTGACCCTGCCATGTCACACTGGGAGATGGGAAGTGCAGAGGGCACATCTAACCTGTCAGCTTTCCCCACCAGATGACACGTAGGCCAGCAGGGGTGTCTCAAATAGGTCATACTAGCTGCCAATAATTGAGAAAGGCTTTCAGATGGAAAGTTCCTCTTGACATTGCCTTCAGCAATGCAAGGTTGTTGGGGTCAGACAATTCAGGGGAGAAGGGAGAAGGTGCCAGTCCCTGCAGAGACTGGGAAGGCTC